ACACAGCAGCTGCAACAGTGGGCTCAGGCATAACAACGATTCTAAGCGTGGTGCAGGATGGGGCAGCGTTTCGTTCTGTGGTACATGGGGACACTGTGAGTCGGAACGTATTCAGTGGCATCTAACAACAACACCACCGCCACTGTCTTCTCTGCAGGCTCCCGCTTGCCCCAGTTTATGAACACAGTCCAGTTCTCATATTCCTAAATAAATACTATATTCTCCACCCATGGTTTTGCTGTTTCTTCTCTCCTTCTTTTTAGTGCTGATCTTCTTGAAGGAGAAGTTCGGGCCTCTGTTCTTTCACTTCGTCACCGTTCACTCATTTACTGATTCCTTTATTCTGACATTTGACTTCATCCACTCTCCAGTAATTTATTCCACTTCTAATTTACCTGTGATCTCCAAAGTTTCATATTATTTTCTCAGTTCTCGTATCTGTTAATTTCCATGTATCTTTTGACACTATTTATGGACTTATTACTTTTATAATCAAGAAAAATTTTTGACTTTATTGTAGAAATAAATATGGAGTGTGTGGTGTGTGTGTGTGTGTACATATATTAGATGACAAAATGGTGGAAAACCACAGAATACTGGGAATCATGGCCCAGGCAAGTTGACAGATATTTTTCGGGGACACAGTGCAATCCATGACAACAACTAACCAAAAAGTCGGCAGTTCAAATCTACCAGCCGCTTCTTGGAAACCCTGTGAGGCAGTTCTGCTCTGTCCTGTAGGGTCACTATGATTTGGAATCGACTCGACGGCAACAGGTTTGATTTGGTAGCTGTTTGAGGTGGGTTTTTTTGTTTGTTTGTTTTTGCTTCATTAATCTTAACCTACATGTTTATAGTTTTAGAATATTATCTTGTTAATAGTTATTGTGTATAAAAAATACTGAACTAGGCTATAAGCTGTTACTGGCTGTGTGACTTTCAGCAAATCACTTCACCCCTCTGAGCCTCAGTTACCCAATTTGTGGAGATCTAATGAGGTAACATATCTTAAATGTATTGTAAACTAAATTGCGTGTATAAGTGTAAAATTTTCTAAATGAACCATGAAAGTTTTTCTGCCTACTGTGATTATAATCTCTAAAATGGAATCAATTTCTATATTTCTAAAATATAGTACTAACAGCAAAACATCAGTTACACTCAACCACCACCATAAATGGCCCTTAGGGAGAAATTTGGTCGAAGGATAGAGTAGGTTATTTTTAGTATTGAATAGAAATTCAGGCAATCTGGAGAGGGAAGGGAGGCAAAACAGTTTCGGTCAGGAAAAATAAACTTAATTAGCTACCATTTAATTTTCTCTGTTTAGGGCTGAGGGGCTTTATGGAGTTCTCTAGAGGCATAGTCACTAAATTTCAATATGGTGGGCTCAAGCTAGATCAGTTAAGTAAGACTCCCTGGTTATTTGGTTTCTCTCTGTTGAAGTTCTGATTGACCTTTATTATTATTATTATTAAATTGGTTTTTGTAATAATGACCTAGAGTTTTAGGATAGGGATTGCCTCATTACTGTTCAGAATCTAAGACTACTTGGTCAGAGATTGTAAAAGGTACCCTGCACAGACTAGTTCATGGCTCTAATTTAGGATTGTGATATGACTTCTGAATCAACAAAGAAGGGTCAAATTCTGTTTTCATGGTAAGGATATTTTACATTATCCTAATTCTTAGAAAATTAATATACTATGTATCAATTAGAAGCCCTGGTGGCACAGCTGTTAAGAGCTCGGCTGCTAATCAAAAGATCGGCAGTTCGAATCTACTAGCCGCTCCTCGGAAACCCTATGGGGCAGTTTCACTCTATCCCTTAGGGTCGCTATGATTTGGAATCAACTCGATGGCAGCGGGTTTGGTTTGGTTTTGGTTATGTGTGAATAAATACATACACATAGAAAGAATTTGCTGTCGTCTTCCTCACATATTTACACCTCACTTAACCCACTCTTTGAGCTTCCATCCCTATCCACCCCTTGAAAACACCAGTCAGGGTATCATATAACCTCCATTTCTCCAGATAGTCACTTCTCAGTTCTTGACTTTTCAAAGTCTTTCTTTCAACACATGTGATCATTTTTTTTTCTTGAAATGTTTTCTTCTCTGAGCATCTGTGCCACCACAATCTCCTTGTTTTTCTCCTCCCTTACTGGCTTTTTCTTTCGAAGAGCTGAAATATAAAAATATAAATCCACAGGATATGGATTTGATACAAAGAATGTGTTTTGAGCAATTAAATACAGCTGCTCCTAGTACGTTCCTCGAAGAAAAGATCTTTTTCTTAGTTTTGTTTGCATATTAGTGATGGCTATTTCTTATTCGTCACCAAACTAATTTTTTCAAACCTTCATGATAAGTCTTTGTCTTTCATTTTTTGAAATATTACTTTCCTATCTTACCTTCTTACTAACTTACTTAGATTTTAGTCATTAATTGTCCTTACTGAACACCACAGGATGATTCTGTGAAACTTTGGACGTTAATAAAATTCAATGAGATCCAGTAGCAAAGAAGGAAGTGTTAGCTAATTTAATTGACAAACAAATATTTCTTGCCTGGTATACTGTTCAAATTTCATTGGAAGTTTATGAGTAAATTAAACTCCTTCTGCCCTGGGGACTTCAGTCAGATATGTAGTTGTGGGAATCTTTTTCTTTCCCACACCAGCTCTGCATTTTAAAAATTCTTCTGCAGAAAGATCTCACCATACTATAGCTGCTATTCCGTATGCAGCTAATTTTCCCTGGAGATAAGCAGTAGAAGATCCAAATCAGATTTTTTCAAGTCTGTTTCCGTGTCACTTCTTCAGAGAGCTACTCTTTGGTTAACGTCTCAGTAAATAATTAATCGAGGGAAAGGGTGTTAAGAGGAAGTTGGAAGGGAGAAGAGAAGTTTTTAACACGTAGGGACAATAATGAATATGCAATTAGTTATTCTATATAAATTGTAATACTTTCTTAGTTAAAGAAGCTCTTAAAAGTGTATCAGTTATACCCATGAGAATTAAAACCATATGTTCACACAAAAACTTGTACATGAATGTTCATAACAGCATTATACATAATAGCCCAAAAGTAGAAACAACCCAAATGTTCATCGACTGATGAATGGATAAACAGTGTATACCTATACAACGGAATATTAATTATCCATAAAAAGAAAATGAAGAACTGATCCCTGCTACAACATGGATGAACCTCGGAAACATTATGCCGAGTGAAAGAAGCCAAACACGAAAAGCTACATTTTGCATGATTTCGTTTGTATGAAATGTCCAGAAAATCTGTAAAGACCAAAAGTAAATTAGCGGTAGCCAGGGACTAGGACAAGGAGGAATGACAAGTGACTGCTAATGGGTAATGGGCTGTCTTTTTGCATGATGAAGAATATTCTGGAATTAGATAGTGACAATGGTTGCACAACTCTGTGAATATACTAAAAACCGTGTAATTGTACATTATAAAATGGTGACTTATGATATGTGAATTATATCAGTTTCTTTAAAAAAGTACGAAGAAGTTTATCGTAAAACATCAGGCTTATATTTCACTTTATATAGACCATATTAGCTCTTATTTCAGATATTGTACTCAGTGAGGGTCATTTAGGTGACCCCCCTATATCTATAATTATATAACTATAATCTGTATATTTAGAAATAGAGCTAAAGTAATCATGGAAGAAAATAAAGTCAGAAAATATGACTTGTACTTCTAAAACATCTTGAATGACCATGGGCAGGATGCTACCATCTTTATTCAGTATCCAGAAACAAGGATAATAATACTTACCCTTGTCAGTGTTTATTAAATTGAAGGGTCTGTGATAGGTCATAAGCTTCTTGAGGGCCTGTTTTCCCACAGCTTCCAATACAGTGTCTTGTACGTGTACATGTTTAATAAATGTGTATTAAATGAGTATTGGATTAAACAGAAAAGGGCATATGAAGGTGCTTTTTAAGCTATAAAGCCCCAAAGGTATGAGGTTATGGCGTTAATATATTCTGGTCCATATGTGGAAATTTAAAAACAGTTTGGATTTCTGTTATTCTGTTGCAGAGGTATCTTGTGACTAATTTATGGCCACACTGAAACAACTTCTTTTCTAGGCCTTGCAGTATTAAAACATGTGCTGACGCCAAGAGTAAAAGCAACTCATGTCGCTTTTGATTCTATGAAGAATTATTTAGATGCGATTTATGATATCACAGTGGCTTATGAAGGAACTGTGGACGATAAAGGACAGCGAAAAGAAGCGCCATCCATGACTGGTAAGTTTATATTTTCAGTTCAGTCATTTGTATTTTGAATGTGTAATTTTTTAAAAATAGGTGAATGTACTCTGTTTCATTACATTTCTTTGCTGTATCTCTCAGTAGGTTATAATATGTAATAGATGAATTTCTTCAGTCCTGTTAAGTTTGGTTTTTTTTGGCTGCCATGTTAGTCGTTTGGGGCTCACCCATTACCATTAGCCCAGCTTTTTTCTACCAAAAGTTCACACATTAAAAATGGAAAGCTACATCAGTCAAAGGAAGGAGTGAGGAAGGGAAATGCTAATCTAGTAATATTGATGCGTGTGTTATAGGTCATTGATCATATTTTACCTATATTTTTAATAAAGTGTTTATGAAATTCAGTGTCATTGTTTGACAGGAAGAGGGAAGGCTACGTGTGACCATTTTTCCCCCAGACATGCTAGTTTTAAAGACCTTTGAGTTATTGTCTATGTCTATATCAGATATAAGAAGAAAAAAATAAAATTAAGTGAGCAGAATATTTTAGTTAACCAAAGACACTCTCGAATGGTAGGGAAAGTTAAACATGGGAATAATAAAATAAGGAAGTATGGGGAGTCGCTGTCCTTGAAGTCACCCTTAATCAGAGAAGCATAAGCCTCTCCTTTGGCAGGGTTCCTTTTGAGTTGTGATCAAGAGATAAGAACACCGGGCTAGGCTGAATCAACTGTATTTTACCTTGACAGCTGCTTCAAGTTGAAGTAATGTGCTTGTTTGAGTGCTTATATCAATAGAATCTCTTGAAGGCAGATATTCAAAATACAAACCACTGGCACATTTTGTTTAACGTTTACTCCTGCTCCTAAAGCATTCCCCTGGATTTGATGGGCCTTGGAAATTTTATAGAACAATATTCTTTGCTGCAGTGTAACATCTACAAAAGTCAATGTTATTGAAATGTTTAGAGTAAAAATACCTGATAAACACCTTATTATTTCTCATTGTATAAAACGGAATTATACCGTATTTTTAATTTTTTTTCCAGTAATTCTCCATCACAGATTTCATGTTCTGTTTTGTTGTTATTAGTTGTCATCAAGTTGGTTCCGACCCATGGTGACCCCATGTGTTACGGAATAGACCTGCTCCATAGGTGTTTCTTGACTGTAATACCAACAGGGAGCCCCTGGGTGGTGCAGATGGTTAAGTACTCAACTACCAGCCGAAAGGTTGCGATTTGTACTCACCCAGAGGCACCTCGAAAGACAGACCTGGCGATCTGCTTCCAAAAGGTCACAGCCTTGAAAACCCAGTGGAGCAGTTCTACTCTGCACACAAGGGGTCGCCATGAATCAGAGTGGAATAAATGGTGTAAAAAGAGGTTGTTACGGGGGAAATAAAAAACAGAAGTAGTTACGTCTTAGGTAAGAATGATTGTTGTAAAAATTGACTTTATTACAGAGCTGGTTAAGAGCTCAAGCCGCCAGCCAAAAAGTCAGCAGTTTGAATCCATCAGCCACTCCTTGGAAACTCTATGGGGCAGTCCTACTCTGTCCTGTAGGGTCACTATGAGTTGGAATCGACTTGATGGCAACAGGTTTGGTTTTTGGTTATAGATTAAAATTCACTGTAAGTTATATCAGGTATGAAGCCAATTGTGTTAGGTCTAAAATAGAATAACTTGGAATTTTGACTCTGTAAGTGTAGTTAGAATTAAATGTTTCTCCATGCGTAGTGAACTGTTATCTAATATTCAGATTTTATAGTCCAATTAAAAAAACAATTTTTTTCATAAAGTTGTTAGAACGTTCATTTATATGCCACAGGCCAGTGTTTGTCAGAGCATCATGGGAGGACTACAGTCCCATGAGAATCACCTGGAATGACTGCTGGCGGTGGAGGTACCTCAGCTCCGCTCCAGACTGCTGAAGGAGAACCTCTCCAAGGGAGAGCTGGGGATCTGCAGCTTTAGTGAACTCTGCAGGGATTTTGGTCATCACCAGAGTGTAATAGTGTAAGCTTTAATGAGGCTTCATATTAAAGAGATAGGCATTCAGTAGTGTCTCCTGCCCTTCCCATTTTGTGGTGTATTTCATTACAAGCTGGATATTAAGAAACAAAAACAAAAAACTCGCCTGGGCATCTTTTCATTGTTCATCTGGTCTTGTCGTCAGAGTCAGATTGCTTTTCCTTAAGACGTTTAGTGAAGGTGAGACATTGGGGCGGAAGGTAGTTTGGTTATAATTGATTTTTTTTTAATTCCTGTTTCTAAAATGGGTGACACTGGTGGTGGCTTAGGTGCCAGTGAGTCGATTCCGACCCACAGCAACCCCACGTGACAGCGTTGAACTGCCCCATAGGGTTTCCTAGGCTGTGATATTTAAAGGAGCAGACTGCCTGGTCTTTTCTCCCGTGAAGTTGCTGGGTGGGTTTGAACGGCCCACTTTTCGGTTAGCAGCCGAGTGTTTAACTTAACCATTTATACTACCAGGGCTCCTTCAAAATGACGGGTATATGGTAGTAAATTCTGTGCTTAATGACAACATTTGATATTCTACTTAAACATTTTATATGATTCTAGTTAAGTTTTTTTATTAATATTTTTTCTTATATAAAAGTAATACATATTTTTGGGGAACAAATTACAGGTAACTCGAGAGAAGAAAGAAAAACAAAAACAAAACAAAAAAGTTCAAGCTTACCCGCCTAGATACAACCTCAGTAACAGTTTGGATATTTTCCTTAAAACTGTCTTTTTTATAAAGTTTATATGCTGTACTGTGTATGTGCCTTTATGTATTTAAAAAAAATGAGTTAATTAATATTTGGTGCTTTCTTTGTAACCTGCTTTTATTTTTACTTAATAGTGTGTCATGAACATCTTTACATGTCAGCATATACACTTCTGTAATTTTTAAGGGTTACATAATGTTTAATGATGTGAGTGTATAATAATTTATACAGCTTTCTACTGCTGGATTTAGGCCATCTACTTCTCAGGAGAAAAGGGGATAGGTTGTAAGCCTGGCAGCAATGCAGGAGCCAAATGAGGAAGAAGGGAGTGGAGGGCCTCACGGTGCAGAACGTAGACTTCTGACACTCCCGTTTTCAGTATGGTGCCTTTCTCTTCTGTCTCCACCTTGCCTGGGGTAGTCCCTAGGCGTGGAGCAAATGTGACTCTGTTATTATCCTATACTGTCAATATTCTCGTGCTCTACAAGAAAATTGACAGTTTTCCAATTGTGGGACACTTTTTGCTCATGTAATACAAAATATGCCCCAACTAAAATAATTCTTGCAAATATAGATACAAGAGCTTTATTAAATATTTAGGAAAGTATTTATGTCACATATTTCCTGTCTTCGGTATTAGAACCTTCCAAATATCATTTAACGTTTAGCTGTTTTCCAGTTTATCTGATGATACACTTAAATCGTCTGTGTTTGGGCATTTAACTCCAGGGACGTGGCTGATACGGCTGCACCGCTGACTGCTCTGGGTCTGGCTTCTCTTTGAGCTGTAGTTTCTTCATCTGTACAAGGAGATGCTAATAACAGTAATACTTGCCTATTCAGAATTGTGAAGGTCAAATGAAATGATGTGCATGGAAGTGTGTATTATTATGTAAGTTTTTTTTGTGGGGGAGGGCACTAACAGTGTCCATGGGAACTTCAGAGTCCTTTTCTCACATCTGTTCCTTCCTAAGCTTCGGTCTTATTACAGGCATTGGTAACATGTTTTAAACACTTTAGTTCACAAAAAATTTCATTTTGATATTGAAATACAGTCTTTTACATTTTCTTTACAATCTACAGCTTTGCAGAAAATACATCAAGGATAAGCTCTAGTGTTAACTGACCACTTATTTTATGGAAATGTCAAGGTAGAAATACAGATAATCAAGTGAAGACAGGAAAATCGGTGTCAGAGTCTATTTTTATGTGTGAGAAATAGAAATAAGATGAGAAGTAATATGAGACTACAGCGCATTGATCGCTAACACTTGGTGCATACTCCATGCGAGGGGCCGCTCTGTGTACTCGGCATATTCCTCTCAACAGCCCCGTCAGGTCGATAACTGCTATGACCATCTCTGTTTCACAGACTTGGAAACTTCGGCAAAACCACTGGCTGTTGAGTCAGCTCTAACTCATGGCGACAACATACGTGTCAGAGTGGAACTGTGCTCCATAGGGTTTTAAATGGCTGATATTTTGGAAGTAGATCGCCAGGCCTTTCTCTGAAGGTTCCTCTGGGTGGACTCGAACCTCCCAACTGTTGGTTAGTGACCGAGCACATTAACCATTTGCACCACCCAGGAGCTCTTAGGCCCAGAGAGTTTAACAGATTTTCCCAGGGTATCACAAGCTCACACTCCCTAGCTCCACAGTTCATGCTCTTAACCACTGCACAGTTCTGCCTCTAAACATATTTTTAGCAGTTATTTGACTATTTAGATGAAAATAGAACTCAAGAAAAATTAAGATAAAAATACTGAAAAACTAAAATTGTCCCTCTGTTAGTGCCTTTCACATTTATCACTGAAGCTAACTGGATATTTTTTTATGACCTCAATGCTGCATGTTACTACAGCTTGACACCATAAAGAAAGAAGAGCAGTTGTGTAAAGTTCTTAGCAAAAAAGGGGTGTATATGGCGGCAGAAGAACAGAGATTTCTTTAAGGATAAGCTTAAAGTCTTTCTCAAACTGTAGAATACAAGATTCACTATTTCTTAGGACATGTCTTTGAACACATTCTCAATTTAAGATAAAAGGTCTCAGCCTCCAACTTGTATACCCACCTAGGAAACAGTCTTCTCTTTAATGTCATGGGAATATTTTCTTGTGTCCAAGTAATTTAAATATATCAATATTCTCACTTCTCCACATAGAGTCACCTCCAAAGAAAGTAGTTCCCACTCTCAAAGTGCTTTCTCATTTTTGAATAAATGCTGGCCTCCCTCGTGCAGCTCAGGCTGAAGAAAGGACTGTCTTCTTTTCTTTCAAATGTAGCTTTGCCTTAACTGTGATTATTCAAGGGTTCATAGTTATTCTACGGTAGGAACTTTGGTCCCTAAACCAACTCTAATATATTAAAAATGGCAAGCATCAGGAAAGCAAGAAAGTGTGTGAGTGATTAGAAGCCAAGACCTAGAGGAAAGGAAATAGCTCTCCCCAGTGTCTTATGACTGTGTAGCCGTCAGTGACAGGAAGGTTATGTTTCCAGTTCTTTGTTGGGCTGGGAGGTACAATAATGCACCAGACAGCCTCCATCTCTGCCCTCATGGACTCACACGCTGCTGGGTAAAAGAGCAGTAACAATGTGTGACAAATGGTAGGATTGGGCATGGGGACTGGTGGTCTAAATGAAGGTCGTTGGTCTGACCGTGGTCACCATTTCAGGATCCCCGCAGAGGGCTGGGTATGTACTTCAGTAGAGACTAGCAGAGTCCGTCTTCCTGTTCTTGGATTGCCTATAGAGTTAAAAGTTTTTATGTGAAAATAACTTGCAAATGTAGCTTAATGACTTATGTAATTGTGGTAGACTTGGCTTGAAACTCATAACTACTAGTTCATATTCTTTATTTTTTTGTAAGTTTTTTTGTCTAAGTAAAAAATGTGTGCCTTTTTATTATTGTTTGCTTTATTCCCATTGTAAGTCCTTTTATATAACCAAGAGTTCCAGAAGTGTAAGAAATGAAATATTTTTGTTCTTTGTTAGACTTTCTCTGCAAAGAGTGTCCAAAAGTTCATATTCACATTGATCGAATAGACAAAACAGATGTCCCGGAAGAACAAGCACACATGAGAAAATGGCTCCATGAACGTTTTGAAATAAAAGATAAGTGAGTAACAGCTTTAGTTCAAAAGGTGGTGCAACCAAAGTTTACTGTGGTAAACAATTTGAAACTAACTTACACATTTTTATTGTCTCAAAAACACTTTTTATAAACTCAAGTCGTATCTTATTCCATGTGTGATCTGTTCATGTTTTAAGCTTTACTTTTACAAGTCACCATAAAAGAACTTATCTGTTTTCATTTACAGTACTTCCTGGACCATAGTATGTGGTAAGATATGAAACTTTCAAAAACAGAACTTTTCATTGTAAGATGCTCAAAAGCTGGTTTTGCAGGTTGGGTGCTGTGGTGTTACTGTTTCAGTCACCATGCCAAAGGGAGTGGAAAGGCAGTTCTGAGAACAGAGTTGTGTCCAGTGTATATTTTTGCTGTATTGTTTGGAAGAAGAAAGAGCAATTGAATTTTTTACTTCAAAAATAATCTTTTTTCTATTAATATTTTTGAGCTTGAACAGTTTCTGGGGCTGAGCTTGTGTTTGTTCATGCTAATAATAGCACTTTAGAACAAACAATGGCTTTGAACTTTGCTGAAATATACCTGTCAATAAATTGTGGGTATATTCATACACCTCATAAGTGAGGCATAGCATCAAGGGGTTAACTGACTGACTGAGTGTGATATGCCACTTATTAAAGACAAAGCCTTGACAGCAGATGACATCAATAGAGTATATTTGTATCTCTTTGATTAAATACAAGGAAAATTAGAAATTTTTTATTTTATTTTTTTTAGGAAGATAAAATGTGGGTCTCAGGGCTAGATATAATATTTAGAAATTGCATTTTGTTCATGAGAATATTTTCTTGGATGAAACTTCAGGGTATATCATTTATTTTGGTTTTGTTATCGCTAGGAGTTTTATTCTTTCTGATGCATATCCTATTTTTTGAAAGATGTTTTAAACATCTATAATTTTTATCCTCTTTTTAAAAAAATGGATTCATTAAAGGATGCAGCATTTATTAAAGCCATCTTGAGAAGTATTTTAACTTAAAAAGTAAATAATTCCAAAATTATATTTATATTGAGAAAATATACCTGTGTTTTATTCTCCTAATACGACTGTTTTCAGAAAACTATCATTATTCTTTCTTTCCTTGTTTTGTTACAGTAAAGTATTTCCTTATTAACCCTTTTTGGTTAACTTTAACAGGCAAAAATGATTGAAAGTATGATCAGTTGAAAATGAAAGAACCCTTACATAAATTTCTATATTTCATTGGCTCTCAATTGTAGATGGCATAATTTATTAAAACAGCCATTCAGGACCACTTTGGTCATGGAAGAAATTTTAAAAGTAAGATCTATGTATATTGACATGAAAATATATTCTTAGAAAAAAGATTGAACAATATGTTTAATATCCAGTTTCTCTTATACGTGTTTATATATTTAGGATGACTCTGGACATTTTTGAACAGTGATTATCTCTAAGGAATATGATTATAAGACAGTACAGGGACTTTCCTTTTCTATACTTACATATTTGAGATTTTCATCTTGAGTACGTTCTGCTATTATAATTTTATGTTTTTTAAAATAAGATGGGAAAATATGTTAACTATGACTTTTTTTTCCCTTTCATTTGCTTTTACAATTCCATGCAAATAGGAGCTTTTTGAGAAACCCTATGTATGTTATAAAAACTGCTCATCTTTTCTTTGATTTAAAATGGAAGCTGTAGAAAGGAGGAGGAGTAAGGACTGGGGAAAGTGGAGGAGAAGCTGAGATGAGTTGTTACTGAGGTTTGAGTCAGGTCATCCTAAAATTTTATAACTCTAAAGTTTAAAAACCAGAAATTTCCCCATGAAATTACTTCAAAGTATCTGTTTTAAAATATTCCCTATAACATAATTCATATATGTGTATTGTAGAGCATTAAAGATTATTTCAGAAGTCTAGAAACTCCTGTTATACCAAGTCTCTGGTAGTTTCCTTATTCATCCTTATTTTCCAAGGGCCCATAATTTCCCAGCACAGAATAGACAACCAGTAGATATTTGTTGAATTGAAATATTGAAATTACTAAAACTGAAAGTTCACATTTTATTTATTTTATTCTGGCCATAGGTTGCTTATAGAATTCTATGATTCACTGGATCCAGAAAGAAGAAACAGATTTCCTGGGAAAAGTGTTAATTCCAAATTAAGTCTGAAGAAGACTTTACCGTCATTACTGATCTTAAGTGGTTTGACTGCTAGTATGCTTATGACAGATGCTGGAAGGAAACTGTATGTAAAAACATGGATATATGGAACCTTGATTGGCTGCTTATGGGTTAGTATTAAAGCATAAAGAAGTAGCTGTCTCCAGTCAGTGGAATGTGCTACGCTGTCTGTTACTGGCAGCTGCACATTACATCAAATTGTTTCCTGAATTTAATAAGAAGTGTAAATAAAGCCTTGTTGATTGAACATTGGATAAAATAGAATTTCTGTCTAAAGCCTGTATGCAGTTGGTCTTGGGCGAGCTTACGTGGTTTTACAGCTCTAGTCCTGAAGTTGCTGGAAAGGTAAAAGCTAAATGACGTTTATGGTATACTTTGCATTTCCCATGAACTAATGTCAACTGCAGAAGATTATTAGGACTGTATAATTTCTTACTGCTGTGTAATTCAGCTGGCTATATTTAGGAACATTAATTCTGCAGTATATTTCACTGTATTTGTTATTTTCAATTTTTTACAACTTGACTAGTTTCAAACTCTTACACGAGCATCTACTATCTTGCAGCTATGTAACATTTTTTTTTGCTTAGTTTCTTTAAGTCAATCAGAGAAATTGTATTTAAGTATCAAGAAGTTCAAGGAAAAAGGCAAAAAAAAAAAGTTCATGGGGAAGAAGCTCTGTTCAGCACGTGTTTTTGTCATGTTGCATTATTAGCTGACTTCCTTACTTTATATTGGAAAATAAGTAACATTTCTAAGTTATTGAAAGCAGCTTAATTTGCACACCCTGTACTGTACACAAAAGAATGTGTAAAACATGAGAAAATTGTGACTCTGATTCAATGTAGCAGAAGTTTAAATTGCCCAGCTTTTTAAATATTGTGGTTAAGCTGTTAGTACTTTGCAACATCTGTGCCATAAGTATTTGAGAATATTAAGATTTCCTGTTATTTTTTTACATCAAAATAATGAGTGTGAACTTTTATTGAACCCTGAGTCCAGAGATAGTTGAGGTAATAGGAGCCTTCAGATGTTTCGATGAGATTTACTAGTATGGGCCTTTTGCTTGTTACTCTTTGATTTCACGAGCTATTTAATCCAGAAATCATCTTTAATGTCATCATGGTAGACTTCCACTGTATTCTAGTCCTTTTCGTTTGGATTGAAGTCATTGGTGCTGTTTAATGACTTACACAGTAGACTTGCTATGAAGAAATGCATAACCAACAGTATTTGTCCTGTTTTAAAGTCAGACTCTTTAAGTTCTTGTAAGCAAGCTTCACCAGCCAGTGCAAAGGCATTTTGCATTTGTCTCGTGTCAAGAAGTTCACCTTCCTCAAGTCAGTGTGATACAGACTCAACAGGACCGAGTGAGTTTGTTTATTTCCCATTTATTTTAATGAGGCTATATGATTGATGTGCATCATTTCAAAACGAGAGCGATGTTCCAGGAACCAAATAACACAATTTTCAATCGTAGAACAATATACCCCATGGAAGAGGAGCTTTTTTAAAAAATATGGTCTGCTCTGTTGTATTTTATAATTTAAACTTGTCCGCTAGTCCTTTAAGATAACATTTCTGCTTACTGCTAATGGATTTTTATTGCAAAATTATGTC